TTTTGTTTTATCGCCATAAATGTTTTTTAATAAGAATTTAATTCTTTGAAGATAGTGATAGTCCCAACTCCCAAGAAGATTCGATAATCCCAAGTTTCACACGATCTCACCATGTATATATTTTACAAATCTCTCCCTTCCCTTCTTCACAATTCACAAATAATGCCATTTTTGAAAATTGACGTGGCCCAATATTATTGGTTAAAATTGAATTATCTATCTTGTTTTGTAAGTCGGATTATATATTACGCAATAAGCAGTAGCAAAGATAGTCTCACTCACCGATTTCGAATCACCGGAAAAAACATGTCGGAGACGGAGAGAGAGCGTCCGTTATTAGCAACGGAAGAGAGAGCTTACGAAGAATCCGAGAAAGTTCACATAGTCGGAGTCGACGAAGACTCCGATTACGACGAGCTCGGAAACTCACCTCGATTCTCGTGGAAGAAGCTATGGCTATTCACCGGACCTGGGTTTTTAATGAGCATCGCTTTTCTCGACCCAGGTAATCTCGAGAGCGATCTTCAAGCCGGAGCAATCGCGGGTTACTCTCTGATTTGGCTATTGATGTGGGCAACTGCGATTGGGCTTCTGATTCAGCTTCTCTCTGCTCGTCTCGGTGTCGCGACGGGTCGACATCTCGCGGAGTTGTGTCGGGAAGAGTATCCGACTTGGGCAAGGATGGTGCTTTGGATTATGGCTGAGATTGCTTTGATCGGTGCCGATATTCAGGAAGTTATCGGTAGTGCTATAGCTATTAAGATCTTGTCTAATGGTTTGATTCCTCTTTGGGCTGGTGTTGTAATCACTGCCCTTGATTGGTTAGTCTTCTTCCATTTCTCCAATTTGGTGATTTATGAAAAAATCCCCAATTTTGGAATCTAGGGTTCTTAATCATCTGTTTGATACTTACTTGTTTTTACAGTTTCATCTTTCTATTTCTGGAGAATTACGGAATAAGGAAGCTAGAAGCTGTGTTTGCTGTTCTGATTGCAACAATGGCTCTTGCATTTGCTTGGATGTTTGGACAGACAAAGCCTAGCGGAACGGAGCTTCTTGTTGGTTAGACTTTTATTAACATTGTTGATAAGTTTTTGTTTGGAGAGGAGAGACTAAAAATGGTAACTTTTTTTTTGTGTGGATGTTTTGATAGGAGCATTGGTCCCAAAGCTCAGTTCAAGGACTATAAAACAAGCTGTTGGAATCGTGGGATGTATCATAATGCCTCACAATGTGTTCTTGCATTCGGCACTAGTGCAATCGAGAGAAGTTGATCCGAAAAAGAGGTTCCGGGTCAAAGAAGCTCTCAAATACTACTCGATTGAATCCGCCGCTGCTCTCGCGGTTTCCTTCATAATCAACGTCTTTGTGACCACGGTGTTTGCGAAATCGTTTTACGGGACAGACATAGCGGACACTATCGGTCTTGCAAATGCGGGACAGTACTTGCAGGACCAATACGGAGGAGGGTTTTTCCCGATACTCTATATATGGGCGATCGGAGTATTAGCTGCTGGTCAGAGTAGTACCATCACTGGTACTTACGCCGGACAATTCATAATGGGAGGGTTCTTGAATCTCAAGATGAAGAAATGGGTTAGAGCCTTAATCACAAGAAGCTTTGCAATCGTCCCGACAATGATCGTCGCGCTTGTCTTTGATTCTTCGGATTCAATGCTCGACGAGCTTAACGAATGGCTAAATGTTCTTCAGTCTGTTCAGATCCCTTTCGCCGTGATCCCTCTGCTTTGCTTGGTCTCGAACGAGCAAATCATGGGCAGCTTCAAAATCCAACCTTTAGTCCAGACAATCTCATGGATTGTAGCTGCTCTTGTGATTGCCATAAATGGGTATCTAATGGTGGATTTCTTCTCAGGAGCTGCGACGAGTGTGGTTTTGCTCGTGCTCGTGATCATATTCGCGATTGCGTATGTAATGTTTGTGCTTTACCTTATCTCAAGAGGCCTCACTTACACTCCTCGGCAATTAGTGGCTTCACAGAAAGAAACACAGAGGGATGATGAGTGAGTAAAAAAGTAAAGAGACCTTTACTTGGAAGAGCAAAACAATATGGAAACTGAAACAAACAATAGAAAGTTGGTTTCATCAGTATGGTAAACAATATCATCATGTATCTTTTGTTCAGAATTCCAGTGTTTCTTTGAATTTTGGCAGAATAAAACGGTTTTTTCAACAAATAAAACTTCCTGCAAATGCAAATGTTTGTTGTGTAGTACTTAACATTACTACAAGACTTAATTCCACAGGTTTCTGTAACTGAGAAAAATTTAAAGCTTTTTTATAAATGAGAGAACAATCAAAATTAAAGTTTTAATCCCATATTATTAAGTTAGTTAATTATTGTGTCTTAAGAGTTTAGATCACGTTTGTCATATTTGACGAATTGTCAATTACACCATTTATACATGTTTTCTTCTTCTTTTTCCAACCTTAATATTTAGCTGGAAAATTGATTGTTTTGTTGTTTTTAGAACAGAAATTAATTGGGAAGAATTGGTCAAATTTAAAAGAAACGCGTTCGCATTTAATTTCGACGATTATAGTAGTACGTAGTCATTTTAGAGAAATTCATAAACGAGTGCTTTGATTCGACGAAAATTTCCTAGAAAACGATTCGGAGGTATATTTATACATCACGTAACCTTTCGTTAATTACCAAAATTATCAAAAACATAAATGAATACCAAAACACAAGCAGCTTCTCCTAATCCAAGTCCCAAAAATATACTACTAAACATGAAAAGTCCAAAAAATAGTATTTGAATAATGTGATTAAACTACATAACCCACCTAACAAGGTTTGACGTTAAACTCACTACGAGTCTAACGCTTTTATTATACACCCAAAAAATAAAAAAGAATGCTACTTTATTGTTAACAACGGATTAAATTATGACTAATAAGTAGAAACAACGCTGAATTTGCAGTTCCCTCGAGGTAAATTTCATCATCATTAACTGATTTGTGGTCTTCGTTTTAGTCTGAATCAGTTTAGTTTTAAAGCTCAAACTGATGTTTTCTTTGATCGATTCAGAGTTTTTATTATATTGACTTGAGGATTGACTTTAGCTTCTCAATTCTTAATTTCTTGGGTTTATGCAGAATCCTTGTTTGCTTCTGTTTTGTATCTAAATACTGAAAAATCTCTCTGGGTTTTTGCTGGGTTCCTATGCAGAATCATCAAATTGAAGAAAAGCTACTGTCTTTTATGTTCTTACAGTTCTTGTCTTTAGTTTTGCTTCAAACTTTGGAGAGCTATTACTAATAGAAGGCTCAACAATCTCGCAATTTTTACATAATAATGGTAAGTTTATGAATTTCTTGGATGCATAAGATAAGATTACTACTAAACTATCTTTGGTTTTGTTTTGCTTGAAAATTCTAAAGTCATGTTGTTGTTTTGGTGACTTAAGGTACATATGGAGGTGTCTTGGTTAACAGTTCTTCTAGATAACATCTCTTCGTTTCTAAGCTTATCGTCGTCGATGCATTTAAACCCAGCTCATATGTACTACACCAGAGGAGAAGAGATATCAAAGCTTCTTAAGCCTCTTCTTGAGAATCTTGTTGGTGTTTCTGATGCTGCTCCTAGCGATTTGCTCAACAACGGTTTCGAAGAATTAGCTCAATACGTCGATGAACTTAGAGATCAGTTTCAGAATTGGCAACCTCTTTCAAGTAGAATCTTTTATGTAAGTAAAAGAAAACAGATCCAAATTCCTCAACCTCTTCCCCATTTTAACTGATCTTGCAATGTGTGTCGCCAGGTTCTTCGAATTGAATCATTGGCATCGAAGCTACGGGAATCAAGTTTGGAAGTCTTTCAGCTGCTCAAACACTGTGAACAACATTTACCTGCCGATTTGATTTCACCATCTTTTGAGGTAAAATCTACATT